CCCCAAAACCCCAAAACCCCAAAACCCCATAAGGCATTATATTTGCTACTTTTAAAATATATAATTATTAAAAATAATGTAATAATAGATAACTTCTGAGATAAATCAAACAAATAAGGAGTAAGAAGTCAAAAACTTGTCTCAAGTACTTTAAAGAATAAACAATTACAAATAAAAATACCAGAATAGTTCAGGCTTGAATATCTAAGGTACAAGTCACGTAGTAAATAATACCATTAATGATAGTTCTGAGTTAAATAAAGTTTAAGCCAATTTTCAGTCTTAATTTGAACTGCTAAATTTAAGTGAGGAAAAAATTAAGCAAGGAACAAGCTCTAATAATTACATGATCTAACCGAGTTATGACGTCTCCACTTCTATATAATCAAGTAAGAAGAGAAAATTGTGTGAGGTTATTACTTCAACCATACACTAGAGCTAATAAAGGCTTGGAGAAAATCATAAAAAATTAAAGTTTGATGAAAGAGCATCTATTCTCAATCAGCACAATAAATTTTAGACAAAATAAGTATAAAAATCTGGCTTCTTCACATTTGAGATCTAGTAAAATGAAGTTTTAAACGAATAAGCATAAATATTTGATAACTGCTACAGTTTAAACAATAGTAAATCACTTAGTGGCCTTGGAAATTAGTTAACTGATTATCAAACAAGCGATAATTTAACCATTAGTTAAAGAATGGAATAAATCTCTGACATTGGCTATCTTGAGTCTAAATGCTATAGCGATATATCTTAATCTGATATATCAATATTTGCATAGTCAATTAAAAATTTTGAACAGAAGCCTTAAATTTTCAAAATATCCTAGATATATTCAGACTTTATTAAATATAACACTGTCAGGTCTTATGGACATATTATTGGAAGGGTAGTCAAAGACTATCTCGTCATATAAAAAAATATTCTAGAATAAAAGCCTCTTGAATGTAAAGCTGGATAGCTCTCATAATTTTTTAAGAAATTAGTTTACGTTGAATGAAGAGCTGAGGCTAAATTTATCGTGAATGAAAAAATCTAAGAATTCGCTAAGAATACTAGCACCTTTATCGAGTCATTCAAGTTTCAACAGCAGAGTATCTATTAGAAATACGCATTGAATGCTAAATTTTATATCGGGGAGCTAATCAATACAGACACTTAATGGGTAAACTATATATTCAAACTATTCTGTGAGATAGCATGCTTTATTATCAAGAACATCCTCGAAACAAAGAACTTTCTTAAGTATTTATTTCTTAGATTAGCTTCGAAAAAAGCCTTAGCTATCTAGATTGCTCAGCTCATTGAAAACAAGAATTTTACCAATATGGACTACTAATGTATAAAAGCCATACTTTAGAACAAGGACAAATATCATTGCTTCCAGTTTCCAGATAGCAATAGTGTTATTGTGACATACAAGTTTATTGATTATGTTTTGAGAAAACTTATTGATGAGGATAGACTAGAAAGTATTATTATTGCAGAAAATATACTGAAGGAATTCAAAATAAATACAGTAGTAAATCAAAGCAGCATACTTATAAAATAACTCCATTCTATCTTACCTAGTGGACTGTTCATCTTTAATCCAGAACTAAGTAGTTTTAATAAGATCGAAATAAAAAATTTCCCAGAGCTAAAGCAAGTTTAGCTTAAGGGATTCGGGAAGAAATATGAGCCAGACTAAATTGTAGGGCTTGAGGATTACCCGCACATAAAGCTTGCTCTTAATGAAATTACAAATCAGTTGATTGAGTTCTACTAGGATCATAAACTTAAGAAATAGCATAGATACCCAGGAATCATAGAAATTATTTTCTAAGGAATGAGAGTTACAAGCTAAAGGAATATGTTTAGATACTAGCTGCTTGATTTGATGCATCAAGAATTATCTGATTACGAAAGATATCATAAATAAACATCTGGAATGTAGCATCATCTTCAATATTGAATATTTCAAATATTACTATCTGTTATAAGCGATGAAAAAGTAAAGACTACTACTTTTCTTCAAAAAATATGGTAAATGATCCATATCAACTCAAATTACAAAATAAATAAAACTTAATTCATTCGTTTTCGGGACAACTATTTGCTTAATAATGACACTTTAAATAGTAACTTATAAGGCAAAATTGATTATAGAAATCAGAACGCTTTTGGAATATTTAGAGACCCAGTTATTAATGCTATCAATTTTCTGTTAATTTCTCTAGATGACTTAGAAATATATTGAGAGATGAATGCTTTTATACTTCATATACATAAACACATCAATTACTGAATTAATTACAAATTATATTCTTTTAATGGAATATTTTATTTATTGGATCTGATGGGGTTTTGGGGTTTTGGGGTTTTGGGG